ACATTATCTGTACACATTCTTAAGAGGCTTAGGGCCAGTTTTCATTGTGTTGACAGAAGGAAACAAAGGAACGCTGTGCGCATTCAAGTTACTTAGTGTTCGAGTAACACAAGGTCAACAGAACATAAAAGGCCCATTAGCAGCATCGTCTGGACAGCACTTCTCAGCGTTCTGGCGTTCAGTATTGCTATTTTCGTCTTGGTTTTTTTTTGGGAATTTGAATAGAGGGGATGGGGGAGTCTAACAGAAACACACCCATACTTCATAGGTATGTTTTCATTTAGGTTATAATTTACCTGAAATAAGTGATTGTTCGGTATTTCATTACCTTAGAATGGGACAGTTTTTATCATTAGGAGTGAAGTCCCGGCCATGTTGAACGGAATCCTACCAGCGGAATTAGGAATGTTTGCCTAGGTGCTCAAATTAACCACTCCAGATTAAACTTCAGGCTTGTCAACTAGGGTCTGAAAGTAAGAAGCCAGCTTGGAAGAATAGCTAAAAAATCGAAGCACAGGTTTGTACTTTAATAGGGGGTTAAAATTGTCAGAAAAACGTCACTTTGTAGCAGACAAGTAATTGCTATCTTGCTAGAAGATGTGATAGCAAGCAGGTGGCAGTATATCAGAGGAAAACCAGAACGATATTTTCTCCTTAACAAATAATTCAGTCTTGGCGTGCCGGTTTAGCTCATTTGGGTGAGGCTGCGCGACCCATGTAACCGGAGGGCTGAAGTCCTTGCTGCAGCGCGGTAGGTTCGGAATGGCCGACCTGCGGCCGCCTTTTGGCTCCAGGTGTTCATTCGCCGTTCTCTCGTGGCCGGACCCCCCGTTTCCTGTGCTGTTTCAAAGCCTGTCACTATAATGAAACAGGCATAAAAAGCCCAAAAATACTATTAAAAAAAAAAATACAGGTATTTCAGCCAAAATCTCGGTCAGCTGGAAAGTTATAAAAATTGTTGTGTTGTATGTGCAGTATAGGCCCGACCACCTTTTCGGTCTTTTCTGCCACAAGTGGACTAGCCTGCATGGCTTCTTGAAAGTAATGGAGGTGGCATTTGTGCTTTCTTGGGTGGAAGGGCGGGAGGTCTGTGATTTTGGTCTGCAGCTACAGGTACTCTTTCATAAATGATACTAGGAGGGATGGGGAAAAACAATAAAACAACATAATGGGAATCACCATTAGGGGGGGCATCAGAATTGAGCATTCGGGATTATTATTAATATCTTAACAACAATGAAGCTCTTCCCTTTCACGGCTTAAACAAGACAACACATGGGTATTGGCCTACTTACTGACAGGCAATATTTGTTTAATGTCTATCATGAGCTGCTGACTTCACATTGCTAACTCAATCTGCTGCTGTGCACCTTCAACACTGACCAGCTCCAGCAAAACTCAAAATTCCAGATGGGGTTTAAAAAATAGCCACCATTAGCTGTCTATTCTGCATGCCAGGAGAGGGCAGCACATAAATATACTGTGTATATTTTCATTTTCTGTAATGCAGTGTGAAAGTACAGTGATGAGTGATATACCTCCAAGATCTACAGACACTGAGAAGATGCATGTGAACTCTGCCAGGAGTGGTAGTGAAAACAAGACTGGTTGTAACGGAAAGCATGGCTTGTTTCTAAAATAAAAACCCAAGTTTCAGTTTCATTTTTCACAAATTGTTCAATATGAGACTTAAGAGTCACAAGTTACTGTAACACCAAAGAAACCCAGTCCATCTTCTCATTAAGCCTTTTTTAAAAAAGCGGTTTTAATTTTGTCATAGGCTCTGATAGTACCTGTCAAACAATCCTAGGGCATGTTGGGTAATACACTTGTTTAAGTAAAACTACAGTAGGTAACTTTTATGAAAATAACTCTTTGTCATATTTGCTGAAACTTTTACTACATCCTGACAGTAAAACAGTCAGAGAAACCTGATTATTTTTCACAGATTATCTGTCTCAAGTACTACTGTCAGGATATAG